CAACTATATAAAATAGCAGCTAAAAAGAAGGAAAAAAAGAAATCAGATGCCAATATTGAAATAAGTGAAGAAATAAAAGTATTACGTGAAATTCGAGATCTGCTAGCCTATAAATCGTCAATGGCATTAACTGGTGTTGAAGTATAATTAGTCCATTATATTTTTTTCTTATTCGTTTTTTTTTGAATGATATTAATTTTTGACGTTTGTTTTACATAAAGTTTGGTTTTTGATAAAATGTGAATAAATGAATGAATAAAAGTTTTTCTATAAAAGTATCTAAATCAATTCACTAATAATTGTGAAAAACAAGTAGAGTTAGTTGAAAATGTTATGTCAAAAGAATATTTCAGACAGTGGAATATTAACGTCGGTGATGATACGCTTCGACGTTAGGCGAAGATTAAGTTGTTCCTTCTAGTCTAATTGACTTAGGACATCTGCCTGAATAGCATAAGGTGTGTGGTTGAAATATCACGAACGACATCTTCTTCTCCATTTTGTCTATCTATATACTCCTTGACGCTGCAACCTATTATGGCTTGCATATGATGCTTATATTGAATGCTGTAATAAGATCAATGGTCTATATAATATTAATCAACAGCATTAATGGATGAACAACAAATGAATTTCATCAATCTAGATGGATACACTATAAAAACGAATCAGCTTCTGTCGGGTCTGTGGCATATTATGTCTGAGTCTTTGGTCAAAAATATAGTTTTATCAAGACTTAAACAAAATATTCTATTCAAACTTGATCAATAAAAGTCAGATTTTATTCACGCTAGAGCTTTTATTAGGAAACCAATGCATAAATTTAACTAATTTAACTTTGTAAGTTCCATAGAAATTAATTAATATGTTGTTTTCTTTTTCATTCACTACGGAAGCATATCGGAATAACAAAAAGAATATCTCATCTATTGCTACAAATTAACATAAGACGAAATGATATGAATAGAATTTTCTATATAATTTGATTAATTTTTTTCCACCAGCATAAGGAGTAAATATCGATTTTTTGCATTGTACACAGTAGATCATCTTTTCCTCTTATTGTTTATTTATTAGTAATTACATTGTATATATTTACACTTGTATTTCATAGAAAAGTATCTTGAAACTTTTTCTTGTACTTATAACTGAAAGAATAGAATAGATGCAATTCGAACATTATAGAGGTTTTTTTATGAATTTTTAAGATCATGCCGTAATTAATACATTTTCTATTTTCTTAATGGTATCCTATTGAAATCGACTTGCCCTTGTAGGTAATGTTGTTAATTTAAATATTACTATGATTATTGTTATTACTTCTATTAATGTTGATCGATTACTTGTCAACGATATTATTAAATGTGCATTGAGTTTAGATGTAGATGACGTTGATTTTGCTAATTTAATGATTAGAATGAAAAATTTTATCTGTGACAAACAACTGCCTAATTGTTATTTGTGGTGGTATATTGATTCAAACATTAACATATTTTCTTCATCATTAAAGCAAATTAGTACAGTTAATAAATCTACAAGTAAAACTGAAAAAAAAAACAACAGAAAATAAAGTTAGGATATTATTGGAAGCAAATAAAAAAAGGAATATATTCTATGATTTACTTGCAGAACAATGATACATGATAGATAAACTTTAGTTTTTTGTAACTTCCGTGTCAATTCATGGCAAATAATAAAAAATTCAAGAAACTGTTATATATATGGTATATATCGATCATTCTTTTGAACATATCCAAGAAATGAATCAATTATAGAATAGAAAGATCTGTAAAACTTTAAGACAACGAATATGATTAGCAGTTTGTCGAATCAATAATGCAGAATCTAAATACAAGAGTGAGTAAATCGCTAGATCAAGAACAGATGTATAATAAGAAACTTTGTTTCATACTTATATTGTTTTGTTCTTTAATGTTGACTTCATGAAAAAAAAGTTAAATAATAAAATATGATAAGTATAAACTCAAATTTATAGATTATTGATTATCGTATACTAATAGTCAATTAGCAAAAGTATTTAAAAAAACCTTATGAATTTTCTCTCATATCACGATACATAAATAAAAAGAAAATAAAAGTTAAAATAATATAATGAGGATCTGAGAACAATCTATAAAATATTTTAATAAACTAGTATTCAACTAAAACATAATTTATGTAAAACCTTTACTCATACACTCAATATCAAGATCGATTAGTAAATTCGATATAAGGAACAAAAAACAAATTAACTTTGCATTATAAAACTTAAAGACGTGGACGTCTGTATGGATCAGTGGAGAGGAGGAGCAGGTGCGAGGAATAACATCAGCACTTAGATCTACACTCACATCCACACCCATACTCTACTAGTTGAATTCTATTCAATCAATAAATTCGACGGTAGAAAAGTATAAGTATATTCTATAATATTACCATTAATAGTTTGACAAGCATTAAGAAACTTGTGAGGAAGATATTTCTTTTTTCAACTTAACTTAGTTCATTAGCTGTATCAAATATTGATATAATGTTATTCGTCGAAGCGTACAAAAAATCGGTCAGAACCAATAAAGATTTATTTGTTGGTTGATCGACAGTATGCTCGAATGATTCTTAAACGTAACAATGATAAATATTTGAATGATTTTTAACATTGATTGAAGTAAACTTTTATGAGAAAAATAAATTATGTTAAAAATAAATGGGTGAATTGACTGACTATTTAATACAATTATTCGAAAGTTCTTTATCTGTTTTTCTTTCTTGACGTAGGCGTCAAAAGTTATCATTTTTTGTCGTGATGATTGCTGATCAAATCGATATTATCCATTTTGCTGATCTTTAATGTGATGTTCCATTTAGACAGCAACAAAGATTAGTCAATACTCTCTTTGCTTATAGCTAAGATAGGTGATCATAGATAATGAATCAAAGTGGTAATCAAGCGATCAATCGAAAGTATTTTTTGAAACTGTGTTTATATCCAATGGTAGAGTTCTCTTAATAATATATTTCAAAACGGCTACATTATAATTTCTTTCTGATTTCGATCATCTGATTGATCGAAACGTAGCATTTCCGATTTACAGCAATAAAAAAGAAGCAATTGATTGCAGTATATCGATTTTAACTTTTTGAAGGCAAACATTGGATATTCAAAGTTTTGAATGATTATTCGTTTTTTAGAAAATATCTATTTATCCTTTTATCAACATTAGAAAATTTGCATAACATTTTTCAATTGACTGAAACTCGACTGCCTTCTAGTTTTATTTGAAAGAGTATGTCAGACCGTAGTGCCTTTTTTTAATTCTTAAGTTTTAGCTGGCGAATTAGAATGACAAATTCAGTACCTAGAAAAATTGTTATCTATGTATGGAGATGCTTTTTCATATAATAATTAAGAAGCTTTATGTAAAAGGCAGGTTCTGTCAGACACTGCAGCATCACATGTTCTTTCAAACAATAAAAAAGTAATTGATTGCAGTCAAGCTCCTTCAAGAATTCTAAGATGCACAATTAGAAAAGCATAGACAGAGAAAAAAAAACTTAAGAAGATTATCTGTTTTTGTTTGGAAAACGAGGTGGAAAATTAAAAAAAATCATGTCATTTATGAAAGATCAGACCTCAAACTATGTTTCCGTACATTTCTCTAAATTTCTATTTTTCTAACGAAATTGTATTTCTTTCTTTGAGACGAGAGAAAGCTTTAACGAAACAGACAATACTTTTACAATAAGTATATATACATATCAATATTTCATTCCTCCATATCTTAGAAAAAAAGAAAACATTTATTTGTTTTTTGTTCAAAAAAAAAAAGTTTCAGACGGTAATAGAAGTATATGCGTAAAGAAAAAAAAACACGACTACCAAACTGTACAAATGTATGATCTGCTAATCAAAAAAAGCACTACACACTCAAAAATAACTCGATGAGTTCAAAGGGGAAAAATACAATATAAACAAAAAAAAAAGTCAAAAGAACGATGACATAAACAAGAATTGATTATTCGATAATTATTAAAAAAAAAAGAAACAAATAATACAAGGGTAATACAAACATACGTATACAAACAGAAAACTAATATCGAGTAAAACGTAATAATGAACAGATCGAAAAAAAAATCAAATCAATTTATATGATATATAAATGAGAAAAGAAAAACAGTGTCATTATTTCATTGTTTATCTTAACAAATATAGATGACGAGATTCAAAAGAAAGACAACATGCGAAGATGATTACACGTTGAAAATTGCACACAATGAAAAAAAATACATATCCAACATGCATCATTGACTTTTTTTTTGAATTAGTCTTCATTTCTTGACTCGAGAACGAACTTTACGTGCAGGTTTGTCTAGATGACGGACGAAAAATATTATGAAATAAACAAAAAATTTTTTTAATTATCTTTCACCTTGCTGAGGACTGTCACTGTCTCGACGCATACCACCGACACCTTGTGCCGCTTGATTGGCTAATTTAGATGCATATAAATTAGCTTCTTCTTGAGCTTTACCAATATTTTTCTTATATCGAATACGTTTATTACCAAACCAATTACTAACCTGAACAAAAAAAAAAAGTAAATAATTTAGAACATCTTTTTTTTCTGTAAAACTATATGAAACATCAAATCGATTTATTGTTATAGAAATTTTTTATGCCTATGAAATCGCATCAACATATTGAGTATTTAAATATATATATATAGGGAGAGGGTGTAACATAAGTTCTGATTCCCTTTTCTAATAAAATTATTGAAAAAGGGAATCAGAACTTATATTACACTATTTATCCACTGGAAAACTGGAAAAGAATATGCAAGATCCATAAAAACATTTTCATAGATTTGTCTAGTACATCATTATCGATTGAATTCTTAGCCTAGAGAATACTAGGATTGTATCGCATTAAAATTTATCGAAACGTAGAAAAATAGAACGAAATAATACATTGTAAACGATTGTTCTTTTAAAAAATTATTAATTCAAATTGATTTAGTATTTGAAAGTTTATCCGATCCAAACTAATTATGATCATACTTAAAAATATGGAATTCTGTTCTATCCATTGGTTAGCTTCACATGATCTTAGACTCTGTATAAAACAATTAAGAATTTCAAGAATAGAAAAT